GACTGAACTTTTTGCTGTTTTCCCGTTGGAAAGGGGCTGGAGTTGAATATCTCCTGTGAAACCGGATCAACTATTTCTTATCAGCTGTCGTTAACGGGTTTGAAGCCGGCGATGCTGTTAGGCGGCTTGCCTTTCGGTTCTGTAGGAGTTTTTGATATTTCTATTAATCAGATTGAAGTTCTGTCCCTGGTGAGCTGCTCTTGGTCGGCTTCGTGCCCTCTGACTCGCGGTCTCTCGTTACGTGCTTTGAGGAACCCTGCTAATGAGTAGCACTAAGCATTACGTTGAGCTTTTAGACGCGTGGATACGGGTCGCCGCTTTGTTTTGTCGGCTCCTGTAAATACGCAGACGTTGACTTTGAGCCAGAGAAAGGCTCCAAATCTCGGCGTTTCGGATCTGAAAAGGGCAGTAGCAGTCTGCAGCCCGTGTAACTTCCTTCGGTTAAACACGTACCGCATTCTTTTCTCGCCTGTGTGTTATTTTATTCAGTGTATTATGTCGATGATTGTGTGTACATTTTGACCTGTGTAATATCTTTTTCAGTGACCAGGAGCCTCCTTATTCAATGATCACGTTGCACGAAATGGCAGAAACAGGTATCAAGGCACTGTGGGCATGTCAGTTGTGACTCCAACGTTTAGAAAAAAAAACCCAAAAACCAACAAAAAAACAACCCACCAAACCCTCTTTTCGTTGTGAGACAAAAAAACACGCCGGCGCTTGCTGCAGCTCTCGGGATGTGGGATTCGAACCACAGTTCTGCCCTTTAGAAGCTTCGCTGGGCTGGGGGGGTTTTTTTGATTTTGTTTTTTTTCCTGAACTCCCTTAAACTTCCCACGTGAGCTCTCCGGAAGCAGACCGCCAGATTTGCAGTTTAGGGGAATTTTTGTCACTCCTGTTAGAGTTGCTACTGGTCTTAGGAAGTGTGTTTCTGTATCAAAACAAATGAATCAACCCAGTTAGGTGTTACAGAGAATGTTTTTCGGGGAAATGTGCTAACAAAACTCAACCCCCGGGGTGTTACGTTCCCTCGTCGTGGTTGAAGGGAGTGCAAAGTCTCTTCAGCCTCACTCTCTTGCCTGCAGATACAGACTCTGCCTTTATTCTCACTTCAAAGGGGGCTACTTTCTTGTAAATCCAAATCTGTTTATTGGCAGTTTAACATTTTCTATGTGGATAAGAAGCCCTCGTGAGAGCTGTTCCTTAAGCAAGCCGGTTTTCTGTAGGTCACCAGGCATGGGGTGGGTTGATGCATGGTTAGAAGACATATTTCTTCAGTTTCATCGCGGATGCAGCGCTTGACATTTAAAAGTTGACGTTGGCCACGGAGCTCTTTGAGCATCACGCTGGAGCAAAGTGCTTGTCTGTACTGGTCACGGGTGTTCCTTCCTCATATTTTTGGGAACGAGAGGATGCTCTGACCTGGGCGAGGCTGTTCTCCAAACAACACAGATGGCTTCACCCAACCTGCTGTAATTTATTTTTTTCTCCTTGAATTTAAATTTCTAAACGCTGCGAACTAAGACGCTGAAGTAAAAAGTAAACTGGTTTGGTTTTGATTTGGGGGATTTTTTCATAGTGGTCCTGGTAATGTTGGGTTGAAGGTTGGACTAGATGATCTTAGAGATCTTTTCCAACCTTAATGATTCTATCTCTAAACTCACCGAGTAATTTCAAAGGATTTGATGTTTATGGGTGTGTTTTGAATGCGTTGGAATGGCGGCGTGAATTCTGAGCGTTGCTTCTGTTCTGTGGTTGACAGATGAAGGCTGGCTGGAAGTTGTCCAATCTTTAATTCGAGTTATTCCATTAGAAGATCCCTTGGGACCAGCTGTTATAACGCTACTACTTGATGAATGTCCGCTGCCAACAAAAGTGAGTCTGAAGCGTTTGTGTTTTATCTGCGGCTGAATTTCGGTTATTCGGAGGAGCTTCTGGGTGGGTTTCACCAGCGACGCAAGACTGTTGAAAAACGGGTGTAACTTGCAACTTGGAGTAATTTGTGGTGACTTCGTGCCAGAAGTGTTGGGATGGGGGAGGAAAAAAACCAAAAGAGGCATTTGGGTTTTAGCTGCTTTTCCCTCTGTCCTCTCCTGCCGTGTGGCACAGGCGTGCTGCGCCGTGAGGGTGTACGGGGGCAAAATTGGGAACTTTTTTTTCCAACCTCTAAGCTATTTTGAAGATGGAAAGATGTCCCGAGGTGTTCCTACTGCGTTGGTGCAGGTGTGGTAGCGAGAGCTTCAGGGTTTTCAGGATGCTGACCCCTAAACATGGGGATCGTACAGAAAACTTGGGTGTCTTCGGATGCTTGTCCTGACCTTGTTTCATCAGGAATTGATGATGGCATCGTTGCAGCTTTCATTTCTTCTGCTGCTGCCAACTTGAGCTCTCGATTTGCGTTGTCAGGGGTATAAAAAGCTTTTTCTCTTGCGGAAATGCACAAGTGGCTGGAGAGCTAGTCGAGCGCTCTAAGTATCGACAGCGGGTTTTTGGGTTTTTTTTGCCTCCAGGCTATCGACTGAAGTCATCCAAGACTTTTGAACAATTTTGTCGTGCAGACTGCAAAATTATTCTGAAAGCAAAGCTATAACTAGAAATTTTGCCTGAATTGGAAAAGAAATCAGGAAATGGGGACCACTGAATGTGCCATATAAAGAATGATTTTGTATTTTTTTTTATTGTTCAGCTGTGCAATGTAGGTGCTAATCGAATGATCTCTTTTTCAAAAGCCGCGTGACTTTATTTTGGTACTAATTTTAAGGAGTTGGCTCTGAAATTGTTGACTTTAACAGGACAAAAGGAGTAAGATACATGATAGCTCTGGTGCACAGAGGTTTGTTGTTTGGTTGGGTTTTTTTTCTTCTTGTGCTGCAGTTGTGGGATCTGCTGGTCACATGCAGCCTAGTCAAGTGTTTGCTGCTGTTCATTTTCCTTCTGTTCAAGAACAATTTTAAGTTTCTGGTCTGAAGTTGGTGTGCATGGCTTGTGTGACAGCTGGAGAACAGCAGCAGGCTGCTTTTCATTTGCTCTTGGTGTAGACTGTAAAGTTAAATGGCAGTGCAGGAAAATGTTTGTTCTCTAAAGTCTTTATTTAACTGAAAATAGCTGATCTCCGTGACAGCTCTAATAACGGCTAAAAACAGTATCAGAGTATGTCAGAGAGGCTAATTTTAGTGAGACTCTTCCATCCCAAGTCTGTGGCTCAGTCATTTTTTTTTTCTTTCCTCTGTTCTTTCCTCTTAGCATCAATCCTATTCACCAGTTCTGGTTTTATGCATTTTTTCTTTGGGAACACAACTGCCTTTGTTACCTCTGTACGAACCTGACGCTTTAGCGTGACCGTGGCTCAGAACACAACTGAAAAACAAGCCCATAGATATTCCACTCGAGCAGCACTCTTTTTTTATTTCTTTTCTCCAAATGGCCCGCTGCTGGTTTCAGTATGAGGACTACTTCTATTTTAATTCGATCTGAGCCTGAAATTGTGCAGTTTCAATCTGAGTCAGCTAAAATTTTCAGGAAGTTTGTAAAGATGCGGGGGATTTGGAACTCTGAAGGGTGGGTTTCTCCCACTGGGATAACTTGTTTGGGCTCTAGATTAACCCCTGACTATTCCAAAACTGGAATAGATCTCTCTGGCATTTTATCCCACATCGTACTGCCTGAAGGCAGCGAGTCAAAGTGTGGCATTTGAGATTTATTACCCTCAGTGGTTACTTCCTAAATCCCTGTGACTGCAGAAAACCTTTTATGCTCTTAAGAACAGCCTTTGTGACTGTTCATGTTGTCCTGCAAAGCTCACAACGTCCTAAATTTATGATGGACGTGGGGGTGCTTTTCTTTTTTTTGGAGGAGGGGGTAGGATATGTCTCTTCGGTCCTGAATTCTAAAGTCTAAACCAACGCTTTTCTTTCGGAAAGGCTGTGAGTTTTAGGATCCCAACAAAGACCAACAATCTGGTGGCAATTTTAAAGTTCCAACTCTTGGGTGTGGTGACCTTTTTGTCTCACCTGTTCTTTATCTTAGAAGCAAACCATCCCATGCTGACTTTAGTAATACACTGTAAAAATAACTTCTTGTACTGTATGGAGTTAGGAGGGAACTGTATTTGTCGGTAACGCTGAAGAGATTCCTGTTTATTTTTTTTTCTTTTTCAGGATGCATTGCAAAAATTAACCGAAATATTAAACTTAAGCGGAGCTGCTGCTTGCCAGGATGCTTGTCACCCTGCCAAACACCGGAATACGACGGCGGTGCTGGGCTGCTTAGCAGAGAAGTTAGCAGGTAAAGCTGTGGGATTCTTTCGAAAGCTTCCTGAAGCACCTTGTGCTTTAGCATACACGACGTAAGACTAGTGCAGAAATGTTTTCTTAGAACCAAATAACATCCTGCACCGAGGGGAGACCTTGCAGGGCGGAGTCTCCTCGCTTGGTTGAAATGGTGAACACTCGCTAGCTTGGGTATGAATGAGCTGTTCGCGATCCCCGATCCTTAAAAGATCAAATCCTTTGGGTGTGCGGTTAGCAGTTTGTGGCTCGGTGTTTGTTTATGGTGTGTAGCCTTAGCCCTGGTGATTGGTGTCTTCTGTCTGTGTGAATTACCGAGACCTCGAGCTGGTAGGCAGGAGTATAAAATTAGTAGTCTTGGAGGCTGTATAGAAACACAAAAAACCCGATGCTCTGTCCACTAAATATGTGGTGTTCTGTTGTAGTTAGCCAAAAAGATCCTCTTCTCTATGTTACTTAAAAGAAAATTGCTGGAATTTATTTTAAGGTGACTTTTCCTATAGAACTTTTTATTCCTTGTAATTTCTAGTACCTTGCTGGAAATCGATGATTAATTTTCCTTCC